TTCTATATAATATATATTTAATTTAATATATATTTTAATGTATATTTAATATATAATACATATATACATACATATATGTACATATATATACACATACATATACATACATATATGTATATATATAAAAGAAACCACTCTTTTAGAAATGATTGGGGGGGCTTATTTTAAATTGAATATGTATAGAGATAATTATTAAATGATTAGCAGCTTATAAGCCTAAAAGTTATAGTAGTTGGTTATTTCCATGTAATCTGGAGTGATTTTTATTTCATTGCTGGCACTTTTCTATAATTTCTACGTTTTCTATAATGCATACTTTTGTAATGGACGAGGAAGGGGGAATGTTTAAAAACATTTATTAGGTTTATATCATTTTCACAGAAAGCCTCTATATTTGACTTAATGTCACATTAAAATATAATCACAAAATCCTGAGAAAGATTTTGCATCAAGCTAAGTGGAATCATACGAACTGTGGTTATCAAAAGCATTTTATTAACTATCTGCGTGTGACTCCGTGAGTGAAAACAGCAGCAGAGCCTGCCCCGAGGAGTAGGGTAGAACAGAGGAGAGATCTAGGCTAAGGCTACCAGGAGACAACTCTGCAATTTCTCCGATTCACTTAACACCTCTTAAACTCAGTTTCCACGTATGCAAAACAAGAAGCTTGGACTGGCATTGTTGGGAAAAATACCAGCACCAGCAGTCTGAATAAACACTAAACAAATGTGTAAACTAAATATAGTATTCATAGTCTCTGAAAGCAAAAAGTGAATGCATCCTGAAGAGTGGCAAATCCAGAGGAAATCCCTGTGCTTTGCAGTGGAGGATAATTACCACCACATTTCCATCACACTTTTACCATTACTTCAAGGTTTGTACATAAAGGCTCATAGGTTAGCAGAGAAAACGAAGTTCAAAGTGAAAGAAAAATTCCATCCTCCTTGACTAGCTCTCATATGGTTCTCAGATTTCAAATCTGGGACCTTTCAGAAGAAGCAGTTCAACCAATTGTAACTGCCATAAGGATACAAAGTGAAAGACGAAACCTCTAAGATAATTAAGGTTTTAATCAGCACTGAATAGATTTAATTCAACATTTCAGCTATGCTTTGAAGCAAACGAATTATATGGCAGGAAACCATGGTCTATATCTCCTCTGTCACTAACCACTTGTGTGACATTGGACAAGTCGCTTGATTTCCTTGGGGTTTATCAATTAAAAAAAAAAAAGGAGGGATACTGATACCTTACTCGCCTACAGAAAGGAGTCAGGACAACGTGCTCTCTTCAGGTCCTTGAAGCTCAGGACTCTGGGACTCCAAAGAGCTGACGCAAGCAAAGGAGAAGAATAGCTTAGACCTCGTAAGTGGTCTTCATGAGGAAATTGCCAGGAATCAATTTCAATTTTTTGTTAATTTTCTAAAGTATCTTTTCTGGCCCATCCAGACAAATTCAATATACTTAGCTAGGGAGTTTAGGACACATATCAGCGATCACTATTCTAAATCTCCTTTTGGCAAAGTATCTACTTGAAGAAGCATTTAGACTTTAGATGAAACTTCTCAGGGGGAAGAGGTGGTGAGGGGAAGAATCTCTGATTATCATAATGGAATCCAGCTGGCATAGATAGACCAACCCTCCTGCTCTCCTTCTAGAGCTGATGCAGCACTAGGTCTAGCTGCCCATTGCCAGCCCAGTGTTCTGACTGTAATGCCAAATGATGGAGGTTTGATTAATCATCAGCCTGTATTAATGGCCAGCAAGGACTCCATGTCAGCAATTTATAAGAGCTCCAGTATGTTGGAGATTCACAGTCCTGAAAATTTGGGCTATCTCCTTCCTAAGAGGATGGTATTTTCTTCTGCTAGTAGGTGGTCTAGAATGGCGACCTTCGTTCTGTTTAGTTTATTTCTACATCTTATCTGGCGGGAGAGTATAGTGCCTCATTCTACAAACTCCCAAATCCTACAACACGTCTTCTATAAATACGACAACTTTAGTATCTTTGATTAGAATTACGTGGCTACAAAAGGAATGTGGAGGTCATTCACCAGTAGGGAAGTTCATCCCAGCATTACATAGCCTATGGACAAACCGCAAACCTAAATGTCTCAGAATCACAGATTTGTTCTGGTGCAACCACAAGACAAAGTCATGCAGTCATGAGGAGTGCTGCTGTGTGAATACGATTTGAGGAAGTGTTACAATATAACACTAAGTTTTGAAAAGGCAGGATACGAAAATATGTACAATACAATGCCAACAATGTAAGATCAAGGAGAAATGGAGAGAAATATATTGAGATAGAGAAAAAGAAAAAAAACTAGAATATACTCCAAAATGTTAACAACAGTTATCTCTAGAGAATAGGATTACGTTAGCTTAAATTTTCTTCTTCATCCTTTTCCATATTCTTGGAATATTCTAGAGTGAGATTGCATTATTTTTAAAATAACTTTTAAAAAGTAGTTGGATCGAAGTAAAGTGAATTTATTTTATGGAAAATCCCCTATTCTACAGTCAACATCTTCTATAAAATGAAATTGGATAGCCTACCCAGACAGAAGCCCGCGAAAAGAACATCAGGACCAATATAATGACAAAATACCAAAGCAGGAAGCTCCCTATTGCCCCGCAAGAGTCATCCTTCTGGCATTCATAATCCTGACTTGGAATAGGAAAACTTAAAGGTAGGGGAGGAGGATCCACCTCCCAAAATAAGGAAAAAAGGTCTCCCATGATGGCTTCTCGCTTTGGAAATAAAGCATGCTCAAAAGAATGAAGATGACTGAGAAGTACTTCACTCCATGTGTATGACAATTTCCTTGGCAACCTATTATGACATACACTTCAGTAACTGTGACAGGAACCGGCAAACACTTCTTGGATTTCTAAGCTTTTGGAAGATTTACCTAAATTATTTCTACGAAAGGTTATGGTATTTACCCCCTATGTCAATAGGGTGCATTCTGCCCTAATCTTTTTTTTTATTTTCCTGAAATTTGTATACACTGTATTTTCCTTAAATTTAACGCCTATAAAATCTAAGTCTCTGAGGTATTCATTGATTTTTTTCAGTGTCTTTTACATGTATCGTATCACATACCATATATAGATTAACATACGTGGGTCTAATGTGTTATAGACTGGATTGTGTTCCCCCAAATTCATACGTTGAATGAATAACCCCCAATTTGACTATAATCACAGATAGGGCTTTAAAGAGACAATTAAGGTGAGGGGCATCTGGGTGGCTCCATGAGTTGAGCGTCGGACTCTTTTTTTTTTTTTTTAATGTTTATTTATTTGAGAGAGAGAGCACAAGCAGGGTAGGGGCAGAGAGAGAGGGAGGCACAGAATCCAAAGCAGGCTCCAGGCTCCGAGCTGTCAGCACAGAGCCTGATGCAGGGCTTGAACTCACAAGCTGTGAGACCATGACCTGAGCTGAAGTCAGAAGCCCTATCGACTGAGTCACCCAGGCACCCCAAGCATTGGACTCTTAATTTCAACTCAGATCATGATCTCACAGGGTTCATGAGTTCGAGCCCCACATAGGGCTTTGCACTGACAATGCAGAGCCTGCTTGGGATTCTCTCTCCCTCTCTCTGCCCCTTCCCTGCTCACGAGCTCTCAAGAATAAATAAATAAATTTTTAAAAAGAGATAATTAAGGTTAAGTGAGGTCATAAAGATAAGGCCCTAATCCAATATGACTGATGTCCTTATAAGAAGAGTAATAGACGCCCCAGGGGTATGTGGACACAGAAAAAAAAGGCCCTGTGAGGACACAGAAGTCAGTAAGCCAAGGAAAGAGGCCTCAGGAGAAAACAGTTCCAACCTGGAAAACTGTGAAAAAATTTAATTTTTGTTGTTTAAGCCACCCACTCCAGGGTACTTTTTACAGTAACCTTAGCAAACTAATACATAATGCCAGCTATATATCAAATTTGGATAGTAGTACCGTTCCTTTTTTTTTTAATTTTTTAACATTTATTTATTTTTGAGACAGAGGGAGACAGAGAATGAACAGGGGAGGGGCAGAGAGAGAGGGAGACACAGAATCTGAAACAGGTTCCAGGCTCTGAGCTGTCAGCCCAGAGCCTGACGCGGGGCTCGAACTCACGGACCGCGAGATCATGACCTGAGCTGAAGTCGGACGCTTAACCAACCAAGCCACCCAGGCGCCCCAGTACAGTTCCTTTTTAAGCCTTCAACAAATGCACGATAACTTAAGGACATCAAGAGAGGAACGATGAGTCTGTTGTAAATGACATCAAATGTATACAATTTCCTAGGAAAGATACATGGGGTAGGGAGGAAGCTAGTATTTTAATTTTGACTGTACATTGAACCCTTTCACTGCGAACCATTTTTGAGTTAGTTCGTCTCAATCTAAAACTAGACCAAAACACTACTGCTGCTAAGGCAGTCCAAAAATTATTAAAATCGCAGTTAAAAAAAAACCTGTTAGGTCTTTTAAGAGCATAGCATACCTGCAGATTCCATTGCATATTAATGATACGCAGTAAATAAATAATAATTATTATCTATTAAGGAAACAATTTTCTTCTATTTGACTTTAGATGCATTTTAGGAAACTTTTTGGTCATTGAGACGTACATGACGTAACAATCCACTAGCCTCTTGTGAAAAGGTGTGATGTTTTCATTAGGGTAACATTTCTCCACATCCCCAACGGCGGGTCCCAGCGCCCTGCTCTTCCTGGCTGTTGGCCCTGTGCTTTAGGCCGGCGTCGCCTCTTCCAGGAAGCTCTCCTTCCAGGAGCCCATCCGTGGCACGCCTCTGGGCTCACCTGCCCCCACCTCTCCTGCCCACCTAGGTCACCAACTGGCTGAGCTCTTCCAGACACTAACCAGGGAGCTCCACTTTCGCATCCCGGCGCGGCTCAGTGGCACAAAGTAGGCATTTGGATTCGTTCAATGAAACCAAACTGAACTCCCCGATGAACCTCTTTTTCCCTCTCAGGATCAGTTCCGAAGAATATGCAAGAAAAGGAACGATTTCATTTTTTTAAGCCTCAAAACCACTGGCAACTTTGACACGTTTGGGGTTTTCTTCTCACTGCTGCAACTTCATCACAGGGATATTTAAGAATTTACACTGGGTCGGAACACTTTTTTTTGTGAGAAATGCTTCGCTGAGGCTGATGGGTGTCTGGACACATTACCACATTCTTTACCCTACAATTGGCTACCCTGCTTAATAAAATCTGCTTTAAAATGTGAGTCCATAAATGCTCTAAGGAAGCTAAAGTTATATTAGTATATAGAAATTCAGCTTGTTACAGTTATTTCTTTTTACTGCGGGTTCAGAGCTTGGTCTGAATTTTTGCTGCCCAACTTTCTCCCCGCAGCTGAGCGGGAGCCACAAACCTTAAAGCTGTTTCCCTGGTAACGTTCCTAGCTCTAGGGCTCCCAGCCGCCCTCCCCAACCTCCTCTTCTCGCGAGAAGGTCCGTTCTTCCGGTAACTGTCGTCCGGCAAACTGGTTGCCTACGCCTTAGTGCTTGGCTTCGCGCATGTGCAGTAGAGAGTGGCGCGAGCCAGCAGCTTCCGGCCGAAGAACATGGTGGGTTTTCGGGGTCATTTTTGTGCTTAGTGGACGCGGAGTCCACGCGTGCTGTGGGGTTTCCACGACTGCGGATCTGCAGAGCGTTCAGCCATGGGGGGTGTGGCCAGGCGTCCCTCCACCTGTAGCGGAAAGGAAGAAAGAAACGATAGGGGTTGCTGAAGTTTGTGCTGGGAGACCCAGGGAGGGAAGCTCTCGGGACTGGGAAGTTTTGACTCGCGGACTGGGTGGCGGGAAGAGCGCTGCTCTGTGCTTTCTGGGCAACGACTCCAGATATGGAAGTCTTAATGTTTTTCTGCCGGAGATGAGGCCTAGCGAAACAAAGGAAATATAAATCCCACGTGGACCCAAACTGCACACTCCCCAGTCGCTCTCATCCCCTTCACAACAGGAGCGTTCACCCTTATAAAACTTCAATCCTCACACTTTATCGGCGGCAACACAAAATTGGGATCTTTGGCGCCCAGCGGTCCGAGTGCAGAGTTGTTTACGATCTTCTGCGTGAAGATGTAAGAGGAGAGCCTTAAAAATTTTTTTAATATTTATATTTATTTCTGAGACAGAGCATGAGCGGGGGAGGGGCAGAGAGAGAGAGTGGGAGACGCAGAATCTGAAGCAGGCTCCAGGCACTGAGCTATCAGCACAGAGCCCGACTTGGGGCTCGAACCTACAAACCATGAGCTCATGACCTGAGCTGAAGTCGGAGGCTCAACCGTCTGAGCCACCCAGGCGCCCCAAGAGGAGAGTCTTTAATGGCTTGTAGCTAATATGGAATATTTTCTCTCAAAGCTTGGTATTTTGAGTTTCTTAAATTAGCCCCCTTGGGCTAGTCTTTGTGACATTCCAAAACAATACGGAATAATTGCACATAAAATCACCACCCTTTTAAATTACAAAATAAGACATTTTTATTCATTGGAAGTGTTCTCTGAAGTGATGAGCAAGTTCTCTATTGATTACAGTATGGTGCCTATAAAATTATAATTTAGGGCTCCCTTTTCATACAATAATAATGAAATGAAAATTTTTGGAAAGACATTAAAGATAAGGGAAAATATGTGCAGTTTTTAGTTACAATTATAAAGGACACAAATTGGATTTCTTAAATGGGGAAGTGGTTTCTCTTCGTTAATTCCTGTGCTTTTTTGTTTTTGGATAGATGCAAGGGGAGGCAAATCCTAGTGCTTCCCTTATTGACAGAACCATCAAGATGAGAAAAGAAACAGAAGCTAAGAAAGTGGTTTTAGCCTGGGGACTCCTAAATGTATCTGTGGCTGGAATGATATATACTGAAATGTAAGTTAATTAATCAAAAAAAGTGAAACTTAAAGAGGACAGTGGTTGGTTCCACAGGTTTTTGTGTTTTTTTGATTTTAGGTGTTTTCTGTTGTTTGGTTTTTGTGTTTGTTTTTTAAGATTTTGAAAAGCGTTCTTAATTTTTTCAGGACTGGAAAGTTGATTAGTTCATATTATAATGTGACATACTGGCCCCTTTGGTATATTGGTAAGTAATTAATTTTTACTGTGATTTAGGTTTGCTACCAATGAAAAACTGCATTCATGCTTAATTCAGCTTAGTATTCATTCCTTCACTCCATAAATATTCAAGTGTGTAGTGTGTTCCAAAAACTGGGAATATAGCAGGCAAGGAACAAGATCCTTGCCCTCATGGAAGGAACATTCTAGTAGAGGAATGTAGAGGAGACAAATTAAACAGTACAGTTCCAGGTAATCATTAGAGTCCTCTGATGAAAAATAACTTCTGGTGGTGGTGATTCGCATTTATTTTCTCTGAAATGCCTTCCCTAAATCCCTACCATGTCTCCCTTCAAGAACAATCAGATTTCTATTCCATTAATGCCTTCCTCAGGTTCCTCGTTCTGTCCTCCTCTCTACTTCTCTCTGCTCTTCAGTATAAAGAGGGTATAAAGAGTCTTTATGGCCATTAAAGTGAATTCTCTAGTCTAATACACATGTTAATGGTGTGGCAAGTGAATAAGCAAGAGTTTTGGGAGCACCTGGGTGGCCCAGTCAATTAAGCGTCCGACTTTGGCTCAGGTGATGATCTCACAGCCCGTGGGTTCGAACCCCATGTTGGGCTCTGCTGACAGCTCAGAGCCTGGAGCCTGCCTCGGAGTCTGTGTCTGCCTCTCTCTCACTGCCCCTTCCTTCCCTGCTCGTGCTCTATCTCTCTGTGTCTCTCAAAAAATAAATAAACATTAAAAAATTTAATAGGCAAGAGTTTTGGGATCTGCATACCTGAGTGTATAATCATGACTTCGGTAACTAGCTGTGTGCTCTTGCAAAAGTCACTTGACTCCTCTAGTCAACTGAAGGTGAAAATGTTTATTGTACAAGGTTGTGAGGGTTAGTGATTTTTTTTTTAAAGATTTTTTTATTTTTAAGCAATCTCTACACCCAACGTGGGGCTCCAACTCAACCCTGAGATCAAGTCGCATGCTCCACCAACTGAGCCAGCCAGGTGCCTGATGATATTTTGAAATTTACTAGTAAATGCCATAGACATTATACATAATAGACATTCATTAAATGGTAACTGTTATGAGGACTAAGAAGATAGTTTTCAGTTGTGTTGTTAAATTGCTAAAGTATGAAGGGTTTTGTTTTCCACTCACCTTTAAATGTTATCCCTTCCATCCTCCCCCTTAAAAAAAATAAATTGTTCTCTTCCAGAGCTTGCCCTTGCGTCCCTCTTCAGCCTAAACGCCTTATTTGATTTTTGGAGGTATTTCAAATATACTGTGGCACCAACAAGTCTGGTTGTTAGCCCTGGACAGCAAACACTTTTAGGGTTGAAAACAGCTGGTAAGTGTTTTATATCTTTTGCAAAGGTGGGGGAAAGGTTGGCAATAAATCTTTCTCAATTTAATTTGCCCTTTTTATAGACTCAGCTGGAAGGGACTTCTAAAGCCATCTGGTTCAACTATATTAAACAAGTCTATAATAAATTGTCTTAAGACCAATGATTATCATTCCTATTTGTATAAACTGAATGGAAATACTATTCAACAACCTTTGTTCCATTGTTTAATTACAGTTAAAATTAAATGACTAACCCTTATGGATTGAAGCTAATCTCTTACTTTAAACTGTATGGAAATGGTAAACCACTACTTTGTGTCCTTAGGTAATAATATGTAATTTAACAACCAAGTTATTCTGTTACTTTCTCTTTTCCTGAAGAAAAGGAATCATTTCATTAAGTCTGTTTTTATAGAAATTTTACTTATACATGCATGCACATATTATTTATTTATTCATTCATTCATTCATTCATTCTTTCTTTCTTTCCTTCCTTCCTTCCAGTTGTACAGACTACTCCTCCACACGATCTGGCAGCAACCCAAATCCCTCCCTCGCCACCTTCTCCTTCAATTCAGGGTCAGAGTGTGTTGAGCTATAGCCCATCTCGTTCACCCAGTACCAGCCCCAAGTTCACCACCAGCTGTATAACCGGATACAGCCCTCAGCTGCAAGGTCTGTCATCAGGTGGCAGCAGTTCCTATAGCCCTGGAGTGACTTACTCTCCCATCAGTGGTTATAATAAGGTAATGAATCTTTTTTCCCGGCCAGTCACATTATTTTAGAATTGGGAGCTACCTTGAAAATCACCAAATGAATCAAAACTCCTCATTTTCTCACTGACAGGACTGAGAAACAGTGGGTAATTGACTTGCCCAAATTGCCCATTTAAGAGCCAAGAACAGAACCCAGATCCTGATACCTATTCAGACGTTATGTATACCACACCCTAAAATGAAAGAAAAAAATCAGCTTTTGCAAAGATAATAGACTGAGAGTCACCCTCTAGGATCTTTCTGCAGGGTCTTTCAAACAAGTTGAGACTATGATAATTTTTTACTTTAGTTTTTTAAATCTATGTTTGCCCTTTCTTTGCTTGTTTATATGAAACTTTTGTATATCCTTACAGAATCTTAATGCTTTTCATCATGTGGAATATCTCCTAAGCTAAAAACTGGGATTGTTGTGTAGTTTGACTCTTCATGATGGACACCACCCTTCATGGGATGACTAGAAACCTCCATTCCAACTTCCACAAAGTGGGTTTGATAGAAGCAAAATTGACAAATTTTAAATTGTGACTCCTGCCTGAAGTGTAAGAATATAAAAGGAGTGTTAAAGGGGGCATGGTCACGTTTTCAGATGCTCTCACTAGTTAGAACTACATCCCTATAGCTGCTAGTTAAATGAGGAATGTTTGGAAGTGAAATCAACACACTGCCCTTACCCGTTACATAATATTTCTTTGTAATGAAATTGCATACTACTGGTTACCTATTAACAATATTGGCAAATAATAACATTTAGAAAATTTTGTACAAGTTGAATTTTATGAGGAAATGTATATGTAGTGATAATTAATAACCCATAGGCAAATATGACTTACAGTTTTTGTTTTCATGAGAAAAAAATCACTCATAGTTTTACCAACCAAACGTAATTTCTGTTTAATGGCTACTTAATACTCATCTAGTGGAAACACCATAGTTTACTCTTGAATATGTAAGTTATTTTTATTTCTTAAAAACTATTAATCTGTACTAAATAGCTCTGTATAAACTTGGTAACATTAATTATCTTTTTTTTCCTAGACTGTAACCTTCTTGAGTACAGGATTGTGTGTTTTTATTCATGTTTGTTTTCTTAGCATAGTATATGAAATATCGATGCTATATATACATATTTGTTGAGCCAAGTTAATACCATGGAAAAGTTAATGAAATGGAATAGTAATTTTTCTAGGGAAAAAATGCTGAGATTGACTAACAGGTAGGAAACCTAAATAAATAAGGAAGAAAAAATTTGAACTTTAATCAAATATATCTGCAGAATATATTAGGGTTCCGAAGTTTTGTCATTGAGTTCTTTTAAGTTTTCAAGAAACTTTTCAACTTTTGATTATGGAAATGTTGAAACATAGACAAAAACGAAGGGACTAGTACAGTGCATTTCTAGAGTCAGAAAACTGGATTGAAATCCTGGGGCAATCTTGAGTGAATTACCTAATCTCTCATATCTGAAATTAGTATGGTAGTAATATTTACTTATTATTGAGAGGATAAAATAAAATAATGTACATTATGCATAAGATGTGCCCCTCAGCAAAAATAAACCAATTAGTGAATAGCGCAGATATCATCATGGCATATAGAAGGATCTTAGAGAAGGGGGCATCTGGGTGGCTCAGTCGGTTCAGTGGCCAACTCTTGATTTCAGCTTGCGTCGTGATCCCAGGGTTGTGGGATTGGGTCGGGCTCCGTGCTGAGCATGAAGCCTGCTTGGGATTGTCTCTTTCCCTCTGCCCCTCTCCCTGTTTGTGCTCTCTCTTTCTCAAATAAAACTTTTTTTTTTTTTTTTTTTAATAAAAAAAATAAATAAGAGAAAGCAGGGCGCCTGGGTAGCTCAGTCAGTTAAGCATCAAATCTTGATTTCGGTTCAGGTCACGATCTCAGGGTTGTGAGATTGAGCCCTGTGTTGGGCTCTGTGCTGACCATGGAGCCTGCTTAAGATTCTCTTCCTCACTCTCCCTCTGCCTCTCTCCCTTGCTCACACACTCACTCTCTCTTTCACTCTCAAAAAAAAGAAAGAAATCAATGTGGAAGAGGAGTAACATTTTTCTTTTTTTTTCAACTTTATTTCTTTTGCCACTATACTGGAGTAAATAGTTAATAAAATAGGTAATACCAGTGACCAGTAGTTGTATTTTTTTAAGTTTTATTTATTTAGGTAGTCTCTACACCAGACTTGGGGCTCGAACTCACCACCCTGAGATCAAGAGTTGGATGCTCTTCTGACTGAGGCAGCCACGTGCCTCCATATTTTTAAAGTGTTTAACTTCATAAAGAAACACAAGTTAAATGTAAATTTTTAAAAATTCTTCTATATCCAATAAACATTTTAAAATAGTGAAATGGACATATACCAAAATAGGTCCGCCTGTCAACTTTTTTCTGAATAGTACTTAGCACAACATTTTCATTTAATAGAATCGGAATATGTATTAAATGTTCATATGCTTTGATCAGATCATTTCCGTTCTAAGAATCTCCTGAAGGACATTTCTCAGAAATTAAGAAAAGATTTATGTAGGGGCACCTGGCTGGCCAGTCGGTAGGGCATGTGGCTCTTGATCTCAGGGTCATGAGCTCAAGCCTCACGTTGGGTGTGGAACTTACTAAAAAAAAAAGAAGAAAAGAAAAGATTTATGTACAGAGATGTTAACATTATTTACAGTGGCCAAATCTTGTAGATAATTCAAATGTATTGAATGTAAAAATAAATAATGGTACGTATGTATAATGAAATATTGTATAGCTAGTAAGAATATTACAGAGGATTTTTATAGGAAAATCCTTGGTTACCTTTAAAAACACAATGAGGTTTAGGGACACCTAGGTGACTCGGTTAAGCGTCCGACTCTTGAATTGGGCTCAGGTTATGATTATATACTTTGTGAGTTGAAGCTCCACATGGGGCTGGGATTCTCTCTCTGCCTCTCTGCCACTTGTGTGCACACACATACGTGCTGTCTCTCTCTCTCTCTCTCTCTCTCTCTCTCTCTCTCTCTCGTAGAAAAAAAGTTAAAAATGAGGTTTAAAAAACAATTGTTTTGTTTAAAAAAATATGTAAAAACAAAAATATATTGATATAGCTATATGCACTTAAAGATTTGAAAATACGTAAAATATGAAAAGGGATTATATTACCTCTAGGTGTAGTTCTAAGTATGACTTATTTTCTTCAAACTTTCCATTTTTTAAGACGTGCACATAGTGCTTTTTTAAAAAAATAGACTTTATATTAAAAAAAATTTTTTTTTTCAACGTTTATTTATTTTTGGGACAGAGAGAGACAGAGCATGAACGGGGGAGGGGCAGAGAGAGAGGGAGACACAGAATCGGAAACAGGCTCCAGGCTCTGAGCCATCAGCCCAGAGCCTGACGCGGGGCTCGAACTCACGGACCGCAAGATCGTGACCTGGCTGAAGTCGGACGCTTAACCGACTGCGCCACCCAGGCGCCCCTAGACTTTATATTTTAGAACAGTTTTAGGTTTGGGCACCTGGGTGGCTCAGTCAGTTGAGTGACTGACTTTTGATTTTGGCTTGGGTCATGACCCAAAGGTTGTGGGATCAAACTCTGCTTTGGGGCTCTGCCCTGATGTGGAACCTGCTTGGGATTCTCTGCCTCTCTCCCCACTGCGCTTGCTCGCTCACTCTCTCTCTCTCTCAAAAAACAAAACAAAACAGTTTCACAGCAAAACTGAGAGGAAGGTACAGAGACCTGTCCTATACCTTTTGCCCCCCCACGGGCACAACCTTCCCAATATCAAAATCCCCCACCAGAGTGGTACATCTGTTCCAGTTGATGAACCTGCATTGGTACATCATTATCACCCAGAGTCCACAGTTTACTTTAGGATTCATTCTTGGTTGTGTACATTCTGTGGGTTTAGATAAATATATAATTCTGTATACCCACCATTATGGTACGGTATCATATAGGGTAATTTCATTGCCTTAAAAGTCCCTCATGCTCCACCTATTCATCCTGTCCCACTCCTGACCCTGATCCCTGGCAACTACTGATCCTTTTGCTTTTTCCATGTTCTGTCTTTTTCAGAATACCATATAATTGGAATCATACAGTGTAGCATTTTCAGATTGGCTTCTTTTAGTCAGTCATGTGCATTTAAGGTTCCTCCATGTCTTTTCTTGGCTTGATAGCTCATTTCTTTTCAATGCCAAATAATATTCCATTATGCAGATGTACCACAGCTTATTTACCCGTCCACCTACTAAAGGATGTCTTGGTTGCTTCCAAGTTTTGGCAATTACGGAATAAAGCTGCCGTAAATACCTGTAGGCAGGTTTTTGTATAGACCTAGGTTTTCAACTCCTTTGGCTAAGTCCCAAGGATCACAATTGCTAATCAGATGATAAGTGTAGTTTAGTTTTGCAAGAAACCTCCAAACTGTCTTCCAAGGTGGCTGTACCATCTTGCATTCCCACCAGCAGTGAATGAGAGTTCCTGTTGCTCCACATCCTTAGCAACTTCTGGTGTTGTCATTGTTCTGGGTTTTGGCCATTCTAGTGGGTGCGTTACTTTCTGAAAGTCAAAAACCAACACAAAAGTAAATTTCAATAAGAAAAAGTTCTTTTATTTTGTATAGTTGGCAAGCTATAGTCCTTCTCCTTCTTCTCCATACCCTACAACTGTTGGACCAGTGGAGGGCAGTGGGTTGAGATCTCGCTACCGTTCTTCACCCACCGTCTATAACTCGCCTACTGACAAAGAAGACTACATGACAGACCTACGAACTTTGGATACTTTTCTTAGAAGTGAAGAAGAGAAACAGCATAGAGTTAAGCTGGGTATGTATATTTTTATTCAGATCCAACTCTCATTTTTGGTGTTGCTTTTATGTTATCCTTACCCTATTGTTTTCATTATTTTGATAACTGTACATAAATACTTCTTTTTTACTAATATGTGTAGCTTAGGAGAGAAATACATTTTGTTCTTATATTTTATAGAGTTAGAATTTTAAGTGCGCCAAATTTAAGAAGTAAAATGCAGTTGAACTGAGAATTCTTGAACCTTTTATCTACATTAAGATTGAAAGCTTTTTCTATATATAAGTTATACTTTCTATTCAAAAATTGAGGCTATAAAATGTTTTTGAAGCGGTGCAGAGCAAAGCTTATTGAAGTGATAGTTGTCTCTTTTTGGTCCTTGGGAAGATTGGCATGACAGGGAGGGATAAAGGGGGGAGAACATATTTACTCCAGAAGTGCTGCTGTTTTTCAGAACATTTTCGAACTTCTCTTTAGTTTACTTTGAGAAACAGTGTTAGCAAATCTTAATCCATTTGGGGTGGATTTGATTATAACAAAGTCAATTATTTGAAACCAAATTAGGTTATTGAGCCACGTAATGATTTTTCCCCCTCAGGAACTTTCACAGAAAGCACATTAGGTGCTAAAGCATGGCCACAATGAGGAAGTCCGTTATTGGACCATGGCTCTTTGTGTCACTTGAAATCTCTCCATTGATTTTTAATTTAATTTTGCCTGAAAGTGCCAGAAATGTCAAAGAAACAAATCAATATTATCTTGTTATTTGTCGATGCATGCTTTTTCTTCTTGTGAAACTTTGAACTATTTCAAGTTTTCTGAAAATTATATAGAGTATAATGCAAAGAACAACCTATGTCATTCCCTCTCCCTATCTTTGTCTTATTGAGATATTTTCTGGCTTCCATTTTTATTTCCTCTTTGATCCATAGGACTTACTTAAAAGTGTTATTATTGTTTAAAAGTAACATTAGTGATTGGTGTTGCTTTTAATTTCCAAACATTGAAATGAAGTCTTGATTATCTTTTATTTTTCCTCTTAATTGTGCTACACTAGAGATTGTGACCTCTACCCTGTTAATTCTTTGGTATTTTTTAAGACTTGCATTTGGGCCTGTTGTGTGATCACTTTTTATAAATGGCTTTTGGTATGTTGAAAAGGATGGCATAGTCTCTACATACTCGGCTCCATATTTGCTCATTGAACCAAACTTCCTGAATGTGTTCTTAAATTCTTTATCTTATTAATCTTCATCCACTTGCTCCATTAGTAAGAAAGTCGGTTAAAAGCTCCCACTGATTGTTTTACATTAAATGTGTCCTCGTAATTCTGTTAAATTTGCTAAATGAATATGAAATTGTGTTAAGTGCATATAAATTCATGATTGTTAATATCATTCTGGTCAGTTATTTCTTTTATCTTTATCTTAAGCTTTTTGCCTTGAAATCTGTTTTCTCTGATATTAACACAGCTGTACTGATTTTCTTTTGGTTAGTATTTGCCTGGTGTATCTGTGTCCATCCTTATACTTTGAACTCTCTGTGCCTGTAGGTTTTAGGTAATTCAGTATTTGTATAAATTAAATAGTAAGTATTTTTGTGAGGAGCTACTTTGAGACTATATAAGTATATTCTTCCTCATCAAATTTGACTTACTGGCTTTAACATCCTTTTAAGTTGCTTTTCAAAATTATTACTGTGTTGTAGTGGCTATCTCATTCCATCATTCCTTCTATATTATTCCCTTTTACATTTTTAAACATGTTTTGTGATAAAATATGCATAAGGTTTACCATTTGAACCATTCTTAAGAGTATAATTCAGTGGTATTCACATTGTTGTGCAACCACCTTTTACATTCATTTGTTGGCATTCTGTTGCAAGATAAGAACTTTTTCTTCTCCCCAATTATGTCATTTATTTTAGTGGTTAGATTGTTTCAGGTTTGGGTAGTGGGATCCTCTGGTTTCTGTTTTTTGTTTGTTGTTTTGTTTTACTGTCTAGCACCACAAGATATTCCAGGCTTCTCTTGTACTTTCCTGGTTAACTAGCTCTGGAGTCAGTCCACTTCTCCAAGGGGACCATGATTGCTTTTAGTGGAGAATGATGTTGAGAAATTAATGTCTGGGCACTGGGTATGTCATTGTTGATGGGGTATCATTACTCTAGGTCCTCTCAACAGACAGCCAGGAATATATATGTATATACACACACAAACACACCTATATGTGTTTCCATATCCATCTGCCTATATATTAAAAACCATGAGTACATACTGATACCTCCAATTGCAGTCCAACTATGCAGGGTTTATTCTAGCCTCCTCCTTTTTCATATTTGTAACTCCTTTCTCCAATAGTAAGAAACCAGGCACTCACATTTACTCTTTCTCACACACTTTTTTTGCTGCCTGGCCACTTCATCCTTAACTATTTCGAATGCATCTCCTAAGAATGTGAACATTTTCCTTTCTGACTATAGCGTAATTACCATACTTGAGATACTAGTGTTATTCATATTCACATTTCTTCCAATTGACCCAATAATGGCCTTTGTAGCTTTTTTTTTCTTTTACTGGTGCAGGATCTGATCAAGGATCATTTTTCCATATTTAGCTGCCATGCTTCTTTTGTCCTTTTTAATCTAGAACATTTGCGCGTCTTTGTTTTGTTTTTTTATGACATTTACATTTGAAGAAGTCAGCCTAGTTGTTTTGCAAATTTGGATTTGTGTGATCATTTTTCATTATTGGATTAGATAAGAATCAGTTTAAATACGATTTTTTGGCAAGAATACAACTTAGGTGGCAGTGTGCTCCTTTCAGCATATCACATCAGGAGACTCATGATACCATTTTGTCCCTTTATTGGTGAGATTAAATTGGATCAGTTGGTCAAGATGATGGCAACCTTGGCCTTTCCCTTTTGTAATTAATAAATAATCTATAGTGCGATACTTTGAGACTTGTGAGTCCCGTTCCCCAACAGCCTTTTACCCGGTGGTTTTAGCATCTGAATGAGTTAATGCAGTGGTGGTTGCAAAATGGAGACTTTCTAATACTTTCATTTCTTCTGCATTTAGTAGTTTGGCATTCTTCTGTTGTCCCCCTCACCCCACAGTTTGTTTGTGCTGCTGGTTGGTTCTTCCATTAGCAGTATCTAACCTGCTGTTTAACTCACTGAGTTTTTTCATTTGTTGTGGGTGGGTTCTTCCCCCCCCCCCCCCCCCCCCCCCCCCCCCCCCAGTTTTCAAGGTTTTACTTGGTTCTCTTTCAAATATGCATGATTTATTTTAGTGTATCTTGTTCTTATGTTTTCAATTTTTTCCTATCTCAGTCACTTTAAACATGACTTTCTAAAAGTCTCTGTCCTGTAGTTCAGTTATCTAAAGTTCTCGAAGATTAAATACTCACATTTTTGTCTTGTTGATTCCTTTGCTTGGAACCCTGTTTCCTCTTGTGATTTATGTATTTCTTGTTTGTTTTTGGTAAGTTTATCTGCAGTACAGTTCTATCTGTGCTCTTCTATCCTGGGCAGGCTGGATACAAGCCTTGTCTCCTCCTAGCAGTTTTGTATTTGCCTCTGCCAAGTACCTAAGGAGTATTATGACCTTGAACTAACTTAGGTAATTTCTGGGCTAGGAGGTTCCTGGATTTCACAGGTAGTATAAATGGGTGTTCTAAACCCATATGTAAATGGATAATTTTTAAATCCCCATACAACTTAGATGAGTTTACTTATTATCTCCTGGTGCCAGTGGACAGATTTTTTTCTTCTCTACAAGAATGTGGCCATTTGAGGTTCTTGGCCCTATGCTGGCTACAGGGGATAGAGGTAGGAGAAAAGGGTCTGAGTCCAACCCTACCTCACCTTTGCCTCATTACCATTTCCCACTTGGGCAGTGAAATCCAAGCTGATAGGTTTCCCAAAGCCTACAGAATTCTCCTGAGCAGCCACAGCATCAGCTCACAGGGATGCTGGGGAAAAATAATATTTCCTGCCCTCAAGGAACTCAAATTCTGTTTGGGTAAAAAGACAAACTATAGCCTTAAAGTGTAATAACTGCTCTGGTAGAATCCTCTAGAGGATTAAGTCCCCATATTAACTATTAATATTTCCTAGAAGTAAATTTATAAATTTAAAAGTGTAATCGGCAGTCTCTTTGAATGCAACGCAGGAATTATTACAGGCTATAAAGAGAATGCAGTGTAGTACAGGGAAGAGTGAGTGGAGCTGCTGGCCCACAGAGTAGTTTATTAATAGGAAGCTGTAGTCGTACCATTCAGAAAGAGCTACTAAAAATTCAGGCAAGGAACTTCCTTAGCCTATTTATTTCCTGAGGAAATTTGTCTTTTGTTTGTTTCTTGCTGAGTCATTTGAAAGTCTTAGAGAATGAAACAAGCCTAATTTTACAACAGAAATAAACAGATACTTTCAACCACTTGATTGATATTGCTCAGAAAATGTTCTTTTTAATCTTTAGCACAGGCAGTCTGTGTTCTCTAAAGAAGAGGTAATGTCAGGGAGGAGGGAAGAGAAGAGTCCCTTGGGGCTTTGTCTTCCTTGATTGCCATCGCCTAGGTGCCCAGATACCCAGTGTTCGTGTGCTAACTCTAAGTGACACAGTTACTACAGCACACACTGATGCTCTTTAAATTCATTATTGTAGGGAGTCCAGATTCTACCTCGCCTTCCACCAGTCCTACCTTCTGGAACTACAATCGTTCTATGGGAGATTATGCACAGACTTTGAAGAAGTTTCAGTATCAGCTTGCCTGTAGGTCTCAGGCCCCATGTGCTAACAAAGATGAGGCTGATCTCAGTTCTAAACAAGCTGCAGAGGAGGTAAATGGAAAATAAAAATGACTTAATATTTCTGATTGCAGATTGTTAGAAAGTCTCTTCTACTTCTGGAACATTTTTTGTCTGTAATCTTCACTTTTACTGGCCAGAAACATAAATCTGGCACACATTAAACACTGGAAAGACTCCTGTGTAACTTCGTGTATCTAAAACTGAATTGTATTGTACGTTTTATTCTTCGTTGCATACAGTTGACATTAGTGTCCTGCCTAAAACATTTTTCTGCATTCATTTATAAAAAGGTATCTCAAGTATCTATTTGTACTTAATATATACAAGACTCCTGCTTTTAAAATACATTTGGATTAGAACATTTGAACTTTATCAGTTTAATACCAAAAATAAGATTTTTGTTTTGTTCACAAAGCAGGAATGTTCTTTAAACATACCAACATAAGGAATTTTAAAGATCTATCTGTGCATGAATAGCAACCAAGTGGGTAGTAAGAAAATTCTTGCATATTAATTAGATGAATATCAGTGTTGATGAAGTTGTTTTTCAGATTTTTTTTCCACATATTTTTGAGAGTTGAGGAAAGTGACCAATTTCTGACAAGATTTTTCCTCACTGATTGTTCATTTGAAACATATTTTTAATAGGTTTGGGCAAGAGTGACTATGAATAGACAACTTCTTGATCATATGGATTCGTGGACAGCTAAGTTCAGAAATGTAAGTTCTGACATTACTCTTCAGACGATATTGTTGCCTCTTACTATGCGAAGTGTGTTATTAGAATATTATTTAGAGGTGTTAATTACTAATTAGAGTATCAGAATTAATTATTATGAAAAATGCAATATGGATGGCACATATGTAAGGATAAACATGACATTTACCTTATGGTGTCTGTTTTCATCAGATTGTTTTTCTCTCCATATTTAGTAAATCAGTTTCTTTTGAGTGATAAAGAAATAACATATGTAGTTATTAAGATCTTCCCAACAGCTCAATTTTATTTATTTTTTTTTTCAGAAATTTTTTTTCAATTTTATTTTTCAAAGAGCTTTTCTGGCAGAACCTTTTATATGTCTAGAAATATGAGGGAAACAAAAATGAGGTCCTTGCCCTCAGGGAACTTTTTAAGTTAGAGAGAGAAGGTAATATATATTATAAGCTCCTTCAGAATATATCAATTTCTTCAGTTGTTTTAGAGAAGAACCCTCTTCTCTTTGGCCAATTCATACAGAATAAGTGAGTTCCCTTGTTTCAGCCCTGCCTCTTTCTACCCCTCTGTAGTCTCTGTATGTCCCAAGTTCTGTTGGACACGCGGGCCCCCCTCCACTGCAGGTAGTTCCGCTTGGATTCCACGGAGGCTGCCACTTCTTCCACTGTTTCACCCTTCGACACTCATCCACTCACTCTACATCTTCGAGAAATACGTTGAAATCACTTGTCTACTTTTTTATTCTTTTACTATAATTTTAATTAGGTATCAGGAGGGAGTAATGAAAATAGCAGCCTGTTTTCTTGAACCAGAAGCACTGGATGGCTTTCTAAACATAAAAATTCCCTCACGAAGATGAAAGGTACAACATAGGGAATATAGCCCTGAACCCCTTGGGTGATTTTGTTGCAGCCCAAGGGTGGCTCGCGAGTAGAATGCATTGAGTACATGTTGGAAGAATGAATGAGTAAAATGATGTCCTAGTACTGTACTCTCTTTTATTTCTAATTACAGTCTTGAAAGTTTCAAGTTTTTTGGATATTTTTTAAAAAGCAGTGTGCATATAGCATATAATATTGTGTAATACTACTTACTAGCAGAGTCTGGTTAGCACGCGGTGATCAAAGACATTAATATTTGTAGCAAAACATGTGAATAGTCACACTAAGTGTGTAAATAGCCTCATTGGAATTTAGTTCAGGCCTTGCGGTATATCTGATTTGCTTGCTAAATGGATTACTGAAAGTTTTGTTTTTATAGATTTCTTAATTCACAAATTTGTATAAGGAATTGTAGACTTGTATTTCATCGGAAACTTCTTCACCCTTCCATTTTATAGTTAAACAGAAGCATGGAAATAGAACTAACGTAGCAGTTAAAGTTGCCACGAACACCTACGCGAAACACATAACACACGAACAACTCAAATGGGGTGTTTCCTTTGACAGTCTTTTCACATCCAGAATTAGATTGATGTTAGCCATCCAAAGTGGCATTTGAAGTTCTAATCCTAAAGAAATATTTTAATATGCATAAACCAGTATCAAATAGATCTGTTTTCCACGTAGTCAGCAAATTGAGTAAGCCTGCTGAGTTAATTATGTTAGTTTGAAAAACTATCTTATTAATTACAAACCAATATAAACACGACATGGATAAATGTATGACAATTGCTGTAGAAATGTAAATCGGAGATTATCCTTTTAGCTAAGTATAATAACCACGGGAAATTTTGAGAAAAACTTAACTAAAATTTTTAAATTTTTTTTTTTTCAACGTTTATTTATTTTTGGGACAGAGAGAGACAGAGCATGAATGGGGGAGGGGCAGAGAGAGAGGGAGACAGAATCAGAAACAGGCTCCAGGCTCCGAGCCATCAGCCCAGAGCCTGTCACGGACCGCGAGATCGTGACCTGGCTGAAGTCGGACGCTTAACCGACTGCGCCACCCAGGCGCCCCATTAACTAAAATTTTTATATTTTCGTCAGCAAAAAGCAGGCATATGTGATTTAAGAGTATAACTTTTTACACTCTGCTGGCTTGCTTACTTAACTGTCTAGACTTCAGGTAGCTGCTACTTCATTGTCTTTCACTATATTCTGTTAATATTCAACTACAAGACAGTAAAAATATTCTTAGTGTTTCATGAATATCATTATTTGAGAAATACTTTAGAATTATGTGTGTGAAATCTTTGCCTTGTTTCTTCCCTAGTGGATCAATGAGACAATATTAGTGCCACTGGTACAAGAGATTGAGTCTGTCAGCACACAGATGAGACGAATGGGCTGTCCCGAGCTTCAGATAGGAGGTATGTGAAAATAGAGACCAACATTTGATTTACCTTCAGTGAATCTGCCAAGTAGAAATTTTCTTTTTTTATTGGGCTGTTTAACAACTTCCTTTGTTATCTTGAGGTGAGGACAAAACTAAATGTTTATAATATATATTAGAATTTACTTGCTGTACAGTTCACCCCTTTAAAGTCTACAATTCAGAGATTTGAGTTGTGCAAAAAGAATCAAGTTTAGAATATCTCATCACCCAAAAAGGAAACCCCACATAACCTTTAGCAGTCACCCTGTTTTCCCAATAATGCATTCCCCAGCCCAAGGCAACTACCAATCTACTTTCTTAAATTTTTTTTTAATGTTTATTTATTTTTGAGAGAGAGTGTGAGTGTGGGAGGGATAGAGAGAGAGGGAGACACAGAATCCAAAGCAGTCTCCAGGCTCTGAGCTGTCAGCACAGAGCCTGATGTGGGACTCAAACCCATAAACTGCGAGATCATGACCTGAGCCAAAGTTGGATGCTTAACCAACTGAGCCACCTACGTAGCTACTTAGGCGCCCCCCACGAATCTACTTTCTATCTCTATAGATAAGTGTGTTCTAGATATTTCATATGAATGGAATCATATAGCATGTTGTCATTTATGACTGGCTCTTTCTTTCACTTAATATGTTTTCAAGGTTCATCCATGCGTGTTGTGACATTTATCATTGCTTCGTTTCATTTTATTGCCAGACAATATCCTGTTATATTGATCTACAACATTTTGTTTACCCATTTATCAGTTGGTTGACATTTGAGTTTTCACTTTTGGGCTATTATGAATAATGCTGCTATAAAGAGTTGTATGCAGGTGTTTGTATGGACATAGGTTTTAATTTCTCTAGGCTAGAATGACTGAGCCATGTGGTAACTCCATGTTTATTCTTTTGAGGAACAGCCAGACTGTTAGAAAGTAGCTGTGCTGTTTTACATTCCCACCAGCAGCGTATGAGGGTTTCAGTTCCTCACATCTTCACCAACACTTGTCTGTCCTTTTTATTATAGTTATCCTAATGGGTGTGAAATGGTTCCTCATTGTGGTTTTGATTTGCATTTTCCTGATGTCTACTGATGTTGAGCATCTTTTCTTGTGCTCATTGGCCATTCATACATTTTCATAGGAGAAAATACCTTTTCCGATCCTTTACCATTTTTAAATTCAATTATTTGTCTTTTTTTTTTCAGTTTGCTTATTATGAGAGAGAGAGAGAGAGAGAACGAGCAGGGAAGGGATAGAGAAAGAGGGAGAGAGAGAATCCCAAGCAGGTCCCACACTGTCAACACAGAGCCCAACATGGGGCTCGAACTCATGAACCATGAGATCATCACCTGAGCCAAAATCAAGAGAAGGACGCTAAACTGACTGAGCCACCCACGTATCCCTGGGTTACTTGTCTTTTTATCATTGAGGTGTTTTTTATGTTCTAGATACAAGCCCCTTGTCAGATATTAATTCCAAAGTTGTACAAAGCATAAAGAATGTGTAACAGTGCTAATTGAAAATCACCTATTTTCAACTCTTTTACCTGCAAAAAATGAAACTATTAAGGTTCCATATAATTTGCCAAAAATATATTTACCATAACTTGTTTAGGGTTAAGTAATTAGGTTTCAAAATAAAAAGGAATATCTTAGTCAAGCGCCTCTTTCTTATTTTTTTTATTAAAAAATTTTTTTTAATGTTTGTATTGTTGTATATTTGAGAGAGAGACAGACAGAGCATGAGCAGGGATGGGGCAGAGAGAAACGGAGACAGAATCTGAAGCAGGCTCCACGCTCTGAGCAGTCAGCACAGAGCCTGACACAGGGCTCAAACCCACGATCTGTGAGATTATGACTTGAGCAAAGGTCGAATGCTTAACCAACTGAGTCACCCAGGCGCCCCTCAACCACCTCTTTGTAGAGAATAAATTTTTCCTTGAAATATTTAAGTGCTTTGGATTGCACATTAGTACTTTCTACTTACTTTGCATGTCTTTTATTTATTTTTTTACTTTGGGTGTCTTTTGATCAGCCTTTATTCTCTGGAGACTAAGAATAGAATTGTATATCCCAAAGGTGTCTATTGAGTATCTAAGTGTTTCATGTGTAATTTGTATAACCCTCACATCAACCTTGAAAGCTAGCTGTCAGTGTCCCATTTTATGGATGAGGCTGCTAAGACACAGATTAAGTATCTTGCCCAGTGTCAACACAGAACAGTGTTTTGAGGCCAGAGCGTTAGACCGCAAAGCCCAAATAGTTACTTTCTAGATCTTGGTAATGTTATTTGAACCTGTGCTTGTTCTCTTTGAGCTTTCTTTAAAAGCTATAAAAATGTTATTTTCTACAACATTTTACCAGTGTGATGTGCTTTTTGAAAAGAACAACATTGCTGGGGCGGGGGTGGGGGGGGCGCCTGGGTGGTTCAGTCGGTTAAGCGTCTGACTTCAACTCAGGTCTTGATCTCATGGTTCGTGGGTTCAAGCCCCACATCAGACTCTGTGCTGGCAGCTCAGAGCCTAGAGCCTGCTTCAGATTCTGTGTCTCCCTCTATCCCTGCCCATCCATCCGTTCATACTCTCTCTCAAAAATAAATAAAAACTTAAAAAAAAAAGGACAACATTGCTTTGTGACTACAAAATGCAGTGTATATTATGTTCATTGTAGAAAGGCTGGAAAGTAGAGACAGAAATACACAAGAATATTATCCATAATTCTGCTTCCAGAGATAACAACTATCAATTTTAAGTCACAATTATTATTTTTGTTTATGGTACTAACTACATATATGTATATCAATTGTAAGTTATACCATAATATAACATTAAAATTTAAAAATATTTAGGAGCTGAGGACATATATTACACATGTACATTTTTTTTAATGTTTATTTTTGAGAGAGAGCGCTTGTGTGCGCAAGTGGGGGAGGGGCAGAGGAAGGGGGACAGAGGATCTGAATCAGCTCTGTGCTGACAGCAGAGGGCCCAGTGTGGGGCTTGAACTCATAAACTGCAATATCATGACCTGAGCTGAAGTCACACGCTCAACCAACTGAGCCATTTTAAATCAGGGTCATACATGAATAGATAAAGAAGATGTGGTATATACATACAATGGAGTTTTACTCAGCAATCAAGAAGAATGAAATCTTGCCATTTGCAACTACGTGGATGGAACTGGAGGGTATTATGCTAGGTGAAATTAGAGAAAGACAAATACCATATGATTTCACTCATGAGGACTTTAAGAGACAAAACAGATGAACATAAGGGAAGGGAAACAAAAATAATATAAAAACAGGGAGGGGGACAAAACAGAAGAGACTCATAAATGTGGAGAACAAACTGAGGGTTACTGGAGGGGTTATGGGAGGGGGATGGGCTAAACGGGTAAGGGTCACTAAGGAATCTACTCCTGAAATCATTGTTGCACTATACGCTAACTAAT